GGCTGTGTATTTTACGGACAGCGTCTGCTCCAGAGCTGATAACACCTGATGTTGGTGGTTACACTCGGCTAGCGGCAGAGAAGGAAGGCAGAGAAGGCCCCTGTTTGTCATCATCACCACAGCAGCCAGGGTCGCTGGCAGAGGCTCAGGGCCCGCCGGTGAGGCGTCGGAAGGGCCGCGCTTGCAGGGAGTGGCGGGGGGGGCACAGGTGACCCGACACTGACCAACGCAGTATTCCATGCCATGCACGTCATACTCATGTTAAAACTGGGAGGTCACGAGGGTCTCGCTCCCTTCGTCCGTGGCCGGCTGCTGAAGAGGACCCTGCTGCTTGTCCTGCCTGCGGTCCCGATCGGGATCCCGATCCGTGTATTCCTGAGTCCAGTTTCCGCGTACTGCGGGATCCAGTCCGGGACTTCCTGGTGCTGCCCGGCGGCCGCTGGCGGGACGCCCGCCCCAGGGCAGGGTCGGCTCTGTATCTGTTGCGTTACTTCGCTTGGTGTTAGTGTCATTAGTAAAGCTGGTTTCGTTTCCAGTTTGTACGTCTGTCTCCCTTCTCCTCCCTTCTCCCTCTCCGTGGTTGGGAGGGCCGGGTAATCTATCTGCCGCTGCGACCGTTGCCGCCCTGCTCTGGCCGGCGAGTGGAGTCAGTTTGGGGCGCTGCGCACCCCGTGCTGAGTGGGAAGCTGCTGGTGGCCGTGTAAGGAGCAGGTGCACAGGGTGCAAGCTGGACAGTGCTGGGAAGCTGGGGAGAGGGTAGAGTATTGCAAGAAAACGAAGTGTGAGAAGCCAGGAGCAGTGGCATCATGCAAAGCGCTGATGAAACGTGACATTTGAGCTAGGCTCGCTAACTCCTGGACAACTGCATGGGCTCGGAGCAACCTGCAAGAGAAAAGATCTTGGCAATGCCATTTTGGACGGATAGAGGGAAAATAGTATTTGCAGGGGATTGGCCCCTCCCCTGGATATCTCAAACAAACTTCTTCTCTGATGATGGACTAGCTTATTGGAGTCTAGGAAGCCACTGCACTACGTGTCATGCCTGATTATACAACAGCCTATCTTAATTTAGTATATTATTTTAGTATCTGTAGAGAGAAATAATACTTAACAGCCCTGCTCTATGCAGCATCAGTGCAGTGTCCTCATGAGATTCTGCCAAAATACATGAACAAAAGACTTACTACTGATTAGTTGGTGGGTGTCTTTGGGCCTTTATGGTTTTATGTCAGAAAGCTGCTTTTAAATGCCAGCCTGCTGCTTTTCTTAGTCATTCTGCCAATTGGGAGTGATTCTGCAAGAAACAGAAGATATGTACAGTAGTAAAATAAGACCAGATTCAGGTATGCTATTTTGAATGGTAATTCTGCTGGTGTAGAAGGAAATGCTGCTGGTATTGAAAGGACTAAATGTCAACACAATTTAAAAACAAAACAAAACAAAAAGACAAAATTAAGCAAGGAAAGCATTCAGAAATAAAATAGGTTTGTGTTAATTTTCTGCTTAGGATAAGAACATTTCAGAATAGAGGAGAGGGATGCAAGGGTTTGCAGTCTGCTCAATATAAAAACGCTTCATTGACTCATGTGAGTAGGTCGTCATCAAAGCTGTATCCATGCTTCAGAAAAGGATGGATTACAATCACAGATTAAGAAAGGAAAAATGTCTTCCCCGCGTAGACTGCTAGAGGTGGCAGAATTTTAACAGGATTTCAGTTGTTTATTGCAGCACAGCTCTGGAAAGCAGGGACACTAGTTGGGGAAGCTTGCTCGAATCTTACGAGTCTCTTGGTGAGAGAGAAATCCCGTTAAGGAAATGCATTTTAATTTGAAGCAGAGGATTTTGTAGAAGGAAAAGAGTACTGTAAGAATGTGTAAATGAAATAATCTGTATGTGGTGGAGAGCTGCTTGGAAAGACATTAGACCTGATTCTTATTTATACTAAGGCCCCTTTCCTCTTAAGCTGATACTGAAAATGACCTTGCAATGTCTATAAAAATAACTTGTCTTCTTTTATGGGCACTTGCACTTCCAAAGTACTGTTACTGTGCATTAGGTCATAAATCCCTGGTAGTCTATTTGCAAATCAGCGTTACTTTCTGAATATTTCTCTATCCCTTTAAGTAAATGTACTAATAGTTTCTGCTTGGTTATTTTTATAGTTCTGTTGTGCTCATTTATTCCATTACTAGGAGTATTATAAGTGATAATATGCCTATTCCTTTTGATGTTGATTTATAGCAGATTCAGAAGAATACTAGATTCTGACATTAAACATAGCAGTGCTAGACGACCTGTGTCCTAAATAATTTATAAAGAATAAGAAAAGAATTAGAGGTAGGCCACACAGATAAAAATTTCAGTGTGAGCTTAGTTAGACCTTAAAAGAGGGCATGTATGCTTCAGAGTCTTCCTGAGGTAGATGCATTGATTCTTTTATTCTTGATTCTCATTTCGTCTTCTGTTGCTTTTCCCCTGAACTCCGTCTAGTCTATAGGCCTTGATAACAAGGGCCCCTCAAGGGTAAACGTAGGGTTTTAGGAATGTTTTGCCAGTTGTTTTATAGCTGCTCTTCACCACACTTTGTCAGCTTATATTTTCTAAAGTGCAATTATTGCACGGAAAATAACAAGACTTAAATTGTTCTGACTAAAGAAGGAGACATCATTCATTCTATATATAGCATCTCCAAACTCAGTTAAGCTTGAGTGTTCAGACACTTCAAAAAACAGCTGCTGTAAGAATCCAAGATGACGACAAGAGACAGTAATACAAATAAATATTTTATAAGACAACAATGTGAAGTTTAATAATTGATTTAATAAAACCCACAATAAAGCAACACACTTCTGCTTTCTTCTTCAATTAAACAAATGTGCAGTAAATTATTACAATAAAAAACTCCAAATACAATACATCTACTGGACTTCAACTGCTAATTACAGCAACTGTAAACCCAAATTTAATTAAAACCTATTTGAGTATTAGTATGTGCAAAATACCTGTTGTTTGTGGTAATTTTTTTTCCAGTAAGTTTGTAAGAATGGGATGTGCATTTTTCATGACCTGTGATATGGCTTAATTAATGATCGTGTTTGTGTTGAAGCATTAACTTCCCAAGTACAGTGCTACCTCACCTCTGAGCTGTGTCTGCTCCCATGCTGTACTCGTGTTCCCATTTCTTGCCAGAACAGATACAAACGTAATCCAGTGTCATGTGCACTTTGTCCAAATTAATACTGTGCTGTCAGTTCTCACTTCTAAAATTTATCATGTGACCCCTACCTCAAAAAAAGGGGAGAAAAGAAGCCAAGATTGTTACCACCAGTTGCAGGTATAAATCAGCACGATGAATATGTGAAACCCTAACAAGTTTCAAAATAGACAATAGCTTTAAGTATCCACAGCTGAGTATCACAATATCCATTACTGGGCAAAAAATACCCTTTCTGATCCCCATACAGAACTACTTTTGATGTCAGTGGAAGTTCTGCATAAAGATCAAAGTACAGGATAAGAAGAAATATTTAAAGCCAAGTTCTTACCACCTGCTGAACTTCGCATCAGATTCTTGTTGCGCTTGGCTTCTTCAGTGCAAATGACTTCCGAAGCAGCCGTAAATCTGAGCGTGGAGATGTGTGATAGCTTAGCGTCACGTTTTATTATCCTGCATACATTTGAAGTACAGTGATTCCACCATGAGGCTAAGCGATTCTGTTTTGTGGACTTCGAGGACGAATAAATAGGCGTTTCAAATTGCCTCATCCTTCTATAAACAAGGAAAGGCCTTTCTACCTCTGTAGGTTGCTGTGATGTTTTCCAACATGACGTTACAATATTGTTGTCCAACACCATTAGGTTACTGAGCTTGCTTGGATTTTGCTTTATTCATAAAGCTAAGTAGTGAGGGACTACTATTGCAGTGACATTTCTGCCAGGACACTGCCATACGATGGTCAAAGCAAAGATGAAAAGGTCCGAGATCTGTGACTGAGGGAACAGTACATGTCTAAAACTTCTGCTCCGCACTTTCCTGCTAGAAGCTGCATGTATTTTGCATGTCTGTAGATTATGTTTAAGAGTACCTCCATGTCAAGCATAGTTTCTATCATTTGATTTTTCTTTTTAAAAAAAATAATAATGGAAAAATTACCAATTACAGGACATTTATTAATTAGAATGCATGCTAATCAACCGGCCTTTTAATGGGAATCAAATGCTGGTTTAGACATTCAAGATTATTAATAATAAATTTATCTTACAAGTCAAAACTTTGTAAAATAAATAACCTGTTTCTAATGTATAAACCCTATTCTAAAATACATGAAAGATAACTGATCACTTAAAACACTTTGGGTCCAGTGTTGGGTCTCTAGTCAAATACCAGAAGTCTGGGCAAGGACCGTCCTGTCTGGATCTCTGAATGCCCAGATTAAAGCTAACTTTCTGGTCTGGGTACAGGAAGTTCTGTATTTTGCAGTGTCTCCAAAGAGACAATTCCCAGAAGACTTCAACTAGCACTGTATGCATCAGAGTTTAAGATACTGTATGAAAATTACTATTGCAAAAATACTGTATAATGAATTCAGGTATCATGATGTATTATGGAACCCTGGCATGATCTGCATTAGAGACTTTAAATGAAATACTGAATACTTGATGCTCCATTTGGAGCGCAGGTACTTTGTGGTACGTAGTTGTTGAAGGACAATATTGGACTGTAATTTGTGAGGTATCTGCAGAGCCACATTGCAGTGTGTAAACAATAATCTGAAAACAGCTTTTTCTCAAAAGCATAACAAATTGGATAGACCAGTACAAGGGAGAGAGTGAAATACATGTTCTGTAGGGCAACCACTGCACTTCTTGCAGCACCAGTTCTCCCTGCTGCATATCACATGGTACAAGTCCACATATTAATGGTTTCTATTTGATGGTTTTCATTTTGCATTTATTGCTCCCAGTCTTTGACTATAAGATAAAGAATAAGGCAGCAGTTCCCAAAACATACAAAATTAGGCACTGGAACTCTGACAACTTGCGCAGGTTTTGCTTGTTTCCTGTTTGTAACTCTGAAGCTGGACAGAGCATTTGTACATTCCAAATGTGTTCAGCAGCAGTTGTCGGGCCTTGGACTGAACTTCCTCCCATTTAGATGAACTACCAGGAACTGGAAAATCAAGAAAATAATTAATACAATTCACTCCTCAAGAAACCTGGACAATCCAGCTGTTCTCAAAATTTTCATGGTGTTACCAACGAGAATAATCTTTGTTCATGCTCAGTTATTAATTTAATACTGTTCTGTGGTTACTGTGTATTCTCTCTATATTATTTTACACCTTCAGGTCTGTATCCTCTAACTAGAATCACATCTTGATAAAACTGTGTGTGTTAGACACACCCTCCCCACCCCCCAAATTGAGCTTTCTTAACAAGAATTAATATTCGTGGTATTGTTAGGTATCTAAATCAGCACGTTTTGGCAAAACATATTTCTTTTTCACATCTCACATTGCTCCACATTAGAACATCACCCTGTCTTTCTGAGGAGAAATCCTTGCTTCCTCCCCCCCCCAAAAAAAAAATCTGTACTGGATGTTTCAGTATGAATGTATTTTCTTTGCATGATTTTCACTTACGCTGTGTCCTTCTGGGCCAACCATAGTTAGCAGATTTTTTTTGCCAGAATATTTGCTGGTTCAATTTCAGTAACAATATGAAGAAGAGAAAGTGGGGTTTTTTCCTACACTTAGATGTAATCTAGAATTATGCTATACAGCAGCTTACCTAGTTGCAAGTGGACTATGGCAGTTGTTTTTCCTGCAGTGAGAGACCAAACATTTAAATCTTCTATACAATAAACATCTTCAATTTTCATCAAGTCTTCCTTAATGCGATCCACGTTTAAATGCCTTGGAACTCCTGTGATACCAACATGAAATAAAATAATTCTGTCTTCTGCAAACTCTCAGTGGCCTTTAACACATCGTGAGAGATGTCAATGTCAAAAGGGTTTATAATTTGTGCTGTTGGAAGTGATTAGTAACTTCCAACTTATCAATAGAGAAGAATATGCAAATTGGCATATTAAGTCCAGTATGGATACAGAAGTTGTACAGGAATTGCAGTGTTGTCTCAAATGTAATTTGTCCTGTGCAGAATCCGCACTCTGGAGATAGCCAGCATTAGATCCTTTAGAGCGATATACTTGTGTAGATGACTTTACTGCAGCTTCTAACCCCTATCTAAGGTCAGAATCTTAAAAAAAAAAAATGCTGGGGCCTGCCTCCTGCTGTCTCCTGGAACTTCTGTCTTCAGATGACTGACATAATTTTCAAATGCTCATAGTAATACATCTGCAGTGGTTAACACATATGACTTTTGTCTTGTAGCATGACATCTTTGCCAATCAGTAATTGCACTGATGAAGTTCTTCTGGACGTAATATTTTCAGCAGCTACAGCACCTCTATAGCTTCCCTACTCCATCCTTTAGCTGTACAAATAGCAGAATCAAATTTAGATCATCAATATGGGCACACAAAAAAGTACAAAAATACTGAATAAACTCTGTTTCTGGGTAGTTTTGTATCTATCATAGCTTTTTACTGCTTATCTTCCAGTTTTGTGGTTTGATTATACATACTGTGAGGAGTTCAGCCACTTGCTTCCCAAATTTCAGAATTTTTAGATGACTCCTCTCTGGACCTGATGCCTTACTGCCTTTTAAATTATGTTAGTTCCAGTATAATCTCTTTTGAAAGTTCAGTGCCTAGGATTGTCTCATATTAAATAAAATTTTCCTTCTAGCGAAGACTATCAGAAAATTATTTCACTGATAAATAACTAGCTAACTGCCTGGTATTATTTCTACAGCTTTCTTTTTCCCAAGAAACATGGACTTAAATTTTGATATCTCACATCATGCTATTGATAGACTTCCATGCTGCCTTATAAATCTATATTAAAAGCTAGAATCCCACTGCTTGTATTCGATAATAATTTAAGCTTTTAATTTAGCATTCCTAGTATAATGCTGAAAACTAAGTTAAAATTAATACTAAAAACTGATACAACTCCAAAGACCCTAATGTTGTAGCAGTAGTCTCCAATATAAATGCAAGTCCATTCTCCGGAGATACTGAATTTGAGTTGGAAGAATTCCCTAGCATACATAAAGCCCACTTATCATCACTTTTAATAACATCATTAATGTGGAGGTTTTTATGACAACTGGGATACCTATGCAAACAGCTACAACTCAAACATCTGGAATCTGATACATCATTAGTTGTCTTATCTGTTTTCTTCAGCCAAATCTCACCTATTGCCTTGGAGCTAATGGATGTTTCTTAAGCAAATTTCACCATTTTTGCCTTCTCAGTGAACTTACATTTTGTTGGAATTTTTTTTCCTCCTAAATGACAGCAAAAGCACTTGACATTAAAGATTTTGAGGTCCTTGATTTAACCTCATAACATAATAAAAGTCAATAATAGCTCAGATAAGACAGCAAGGAAGTTGAAACCTAGGGTTTTTCTCCCATCCCTTACATTTTCACCTTCATAAGGTAAAAGTACTAGATCAAGAAGTAATAGTTGGCATGTTAGCTATAATAATGCGAAGAACGTTGCTGCCGTCTTTCCCTGTAAGTCACCGCATGAGAGAAGATTCTTCAGCTTATGTTGAGCTTTTTCTTTCCTTTTTTTTTAATTCTTCCTTTTTACACCACTCTTTACTTGTAGCTTCCCCTGTGGTAACAGTAGAAGCACGCAAGTAATACAACAGCACTTGTGGAAGAGGGGAAGACAGGGCAGGTGTGAACCACCTGTCCAGCCATTTGGCCTAAGCCTGCTTCCTCCTTTTACGGGCACTCACGTCAATTGTAACTTTAGAAGTCATTAAAGTGGAAGTGTAGAACTGAGTCTGAGTAAATGTTCACTTGGTTTAGCTGATCACCACTGCAGACACACAAGAAAGTTCTGTACGTTTCACCACAGAGATCAAAGACACCAAAAGACTGCGGCAATTTAGATGAGCCATCAAGAACCAGCAGACTAAAGCAGCAGCAGGATAAACACGTCTCCAGACACAATCCACTTTGTTAGAGATGGTGATCATGATGTCAAAAAAGTACCAATGCTCACTGGTATTTGACATGTAGAGTACTGCAGACCGGGCACGGATCTTACCTTCCAGAATAATAACTCCTGTGTCACACAGAATTCGAACTGTTGTCAAAACCACTAGTATGGAGAATACATATGTACATATAGGATCAGCAATCTTGTATTCTGGCTGAAAGGGAAGGTCCAAAGTGTTTAAGAATGTATGAAAATAAGCTCACTAATAAAATGTGACCCAGAAAATGCAGTTACTTCTAGCTCCAACTTTCATGAGTATTTCTTTTTGTTTGATTAGTTACAAAACACATAACAGAGATAGTCTTTGCTTATTTTGCCTGAATGTCCAAAGCTTGTATTTTTTTAATAACTTACAAAAACAAGTCTCTTTTTAATCACTGGAGTTGAAATTAAAAAAAATCCACCCTGCCTCAAATACTAGCCATTCCTTACCTTAAAGCGTATGATGTATGCAGCTACGAGCACACCAATGCTCTGTACCAGGTCCCCCAGGGCGTGTACAAACGCTGCTCTCACGGCGAGGCTGCTGTGTCCATGGCTACCGCTGTGGGCTGTGTTAGGAGAGTTCGACTGAGGTACGTGAGAGTGAGGGTGGGAGTGGGAATGAAGGTGGCCAGACTGATTCAGCAAAAAACCCATTCTGAAAGGGAAAGAAGAAAAATGTTCCAGGAAACAGGCTTGAGGGTTTGGTGGGGTAAGGGATTTTGTTGCTTTTTTCTTTTTATTTCCTTTTACGCCAAATAATTCAAAAATTTATACTCAGTATAATTTCTTGTCTTACTTATGAAAATGAAGAGGTCCAGCAAAATTACATCCCATGAGAAAGTTACAGGCCATGAATGAATTAGCAGCTTATTCAGAAATACATTTACGAGTCTTAATGGAGAGAAGGGAGATCTTACATTAAGTTAACTGCAACACCAACGGCTGCTGTAATCAGCATGATATCGCCATTTATTTCATAGTCCATATGGATAGTTCTTTGAACAGCTTCATACAAGAGGAATGCCATAAGGATATAGACCAGCAATACGCTAATGATGGCTGACAATACTTCTGCAAACAGAAAGGAAACAACATTACAAAAGCAAGTCTCAGATCTATTTCTAGTTCCAAATTAGAATGTGGACAGAGCCTTAATTATTTTAACTATTTTATGCGTATTATAACTCTAATGCACAACTAACAAGTTGTGTGCTAAATAAAACTCGTAAAATAGGATTAGCAAATGGAGTTTGTTCTAATCAACTTCTTCACACTTCCCTGTCTGTATATCCCTCAAATCATGTTTTCTCTGAAAACTTCTGCGTGAGCGATGACTGTGACTTCTTCAGCCAACCCAGCTTTTGCCTGAGAAGTCGCAGACAAAGGCCCTGTCCAGGGGAGAGGAAGATAGGTGATCTCAAACATCACCAGCCCACCTACAAATAAGAGAAAGCTTGAGTTCAAGTGTCCACACTATTAAGCTGGATTTGGAAATTACTTTTATATATCCTTTTGTATTTGCAATGGAGAAAACAATTATAAAAAGATTAAAGAACTGAACAGTACAAACTTGTCAGGCATATTAACTCCTAAGCTTGACATATGTGTACATACATGTTACTTACTGCAGAGTTCAGCTATGAAGGATTGCTTAATGTAAGGTTCTGTATTGCTGTAATACACTGCTTTAACATTATCTAATGTTTACCAAATACCCATATTTCACAAAAGTAAGAGTGTTATGACCAACATTTTGGTGTAGGAATTTTAGCTGATCACAAGGGACTTTCAGAAGGGCACATACATCTAAATAAAGAAAAAATTAGAAAGTTAACAAAAACTCCTCATATTTCATTGTCCTGCACCTTCTGTTGCCATTTACATCTGCAGAAAGTGGTTACAGCTCTCTACAAGGTTCCTGCTGTTCTGATGTGAGGTAAACAGGCCTGAATATTTTCTGAGTCTGGACCTTAGTGCTGTTTGCCTCGGTACCCCAGTCATAAAATTTGGCTGGTAATAGCCTACATAAACCTGAGGAGGACGAGTCCACACTACAGCTTTAAGGTCCTACTGTAAAGAATATAGGTATTTCCAAGTGGGTCACTAGATTCCTTTTAACATAAACATACTTTTACCCTCTAGCTTCATATTCTGCAAATGATCGCGCTGTTGCAGCTGAAACTGCAAAAAAAAAAGGTGCGAGATATCAGACAGAGAAAACAATGGTCTAGTTAAAAGACTGTCTCAGTTATAAGCAAGTTAATACAGGGCTTTACAAAAAGCACTGGGAAAACCTTAAAGCTAGCTCCATTGTACTGTGTGTAAATCCGCAGCCCTGCCTGAGTAATCTGTAATCATTATGCATAATGCCCATTACTGTCACTTGCTAGATAGATCACTGGGATCTTAGCTTTCCTGTGTGAATTCAGAGCTGGAATTCACTTACTTGGAACTCTAACGGTTATTCTTCTGCCTTGTTTCACGCATGTTGCCCTGATTTATTCCCCAGTGAGGGCAAAATTCTGCTCTTGGCTGTACCATAGCTCCAAGAATACTGATCTGAGAATTGCCTCGCTTCTCCCTCTGCTTTGACTCTGTCAGTGTGTAGTACAACTTTGGTTACTGCAGGTATCATTTCTAAGACAGAACTGCCTTAATTTTATTTATTGAATATTACAGTCAAAACTATGCAGCTAAATCAGCATTCCGATATCATCAAAATCACTTGATCCATACACTGAATTGTTAACATCATTATGGGAGCAGCAACTCACACCAACACATTCAGCTGTTCGGTAGTGTGTCAATGCCTGGACGAGTACCAGCATTGCCAGGCAGTAACAAGGCTCTGACAGGCAACTGTCACAATCTCAGACGATTTCAGAGCAACGTGAAAATCCTGGAAATATCTGTGCAAGTGGTAGTGTTCTTTACAAAGCAGGTGGATTATTCAGGGCAATAGCCTTAAAAAAAAATAATACATTACTTAGAACATTTCCCAGAATGCTTTCTAAAAAAATTGTGAGTCCCTAGCACATTAGCATTTACCAGAGAAATAACATATTGTGGTTTTACAATCTAAAACCATGTTGTCTGCAACGGAAACCGGTGTTCTCCTTGCAGTTTCTTTCACAGCATCATTGTTATGTCAGCACTATAGATTTGTGCTGAGATCTTTCACTTCTTGTGAAATGAACTATGCACTGCCTCGGTGGACTGACTGATTCTGTCATTACTAACATTGTCTCTGCAGCAATGGAAAAATGCCAGGTTCCATATCTATGCTGAGATCTGCTCAGTGCCTTGCTGAGAAGGAGGTATCTCCACTTGGTAGAGAAACAGAACTATTTTTGGCTTCAAGAATATAATCCTTTTTAGACATGACTGCAACTTCCATTATTTTGCCTTTAGTTTTCTAACCCATTCCTGAATCTGTTGGCTTCCTTTTCACCACTGAAAAATCAACAAAATTGAAGATGGTGCATATGTATTATGTATTCAAAGAGAATTCAAATAAATGAAAACTAGTGCTAATTTAATTCTGGAATTTGACTAGACAATTAATAGGTCTGTTGTCTTTACAATGCAATGTTTACTGGAATGAGTTTGAAAATTCATTGTTCTGCGAACAAAAATGATGATGAGTACCAGAAACACTGTTCATTAGAATGTTTTCATGCTTACTTTATGTACAGATTATCTTAAAACTTAATGCAAAGCAGGTCAGTGAGGAGATAGTTCTTGCACATATTCCCCGCATTAAACAAATGCTCCAGATTTTTTCTGTGACAGATGCTCAATCGGTACCCTATTTTTAACATTCTGTTGTGTTTTAACATCTCTCTCATGAAATTCAAGCTATTGTTGAGCTCATATTATTTACTGACAAGCTTCTTACATATAGGTTATTTGGAAAAATGCGTTGTAGCAAGGATGTACCCTAGAAGCAGCTTTGTTCCATTGCCAGCATTCACTGATCTGTGAAACTGGGCCCGCAGGCCATGGTGGTGCCTGAAATCACGCAAATAAATTTCATGAATATGACTTTAAAAAAAATGTGTATAGTGATTTTGAAGCATCCTGTCTTCTGTACTTGCAGAGCCTAGATCAAGGTTTGGGAGCCTCTTGCAGGGCCTTTACCCCCTTCCCCTTCCTCACCGCAGCCACAGCAGCTTTTCCCCCACCCTCAGGCTCTGGTCCTCTTCCTCCTACACAGCGAGCTGCACTGCTGCAACTCATGCAGAATGGCTGAGGTAGGAAGGAGCCTCTGGGAGCTGTGTAGTCCTGCTCAAAGCTAGGTCAACTACAGCAGGTTGCTCACACTGTGTCAAGTTGGGTTGTGACTATTTCCAGCTGTGGAGACCCCGTAACCTGTTCCAGTGTTTGAACACCTACTGGCACTGGGCAGCAGAAAAGGGGGAGTAACTGTCGCAGAACTGAGAACCTGCTCCCTGTAGCTTCTCCCAGGGAGAGGATGGTGGGCAATACGGACGAATTCTGTGGGCCAGATCCAGCCCATGGGCCACCACTGGATCAGTCTGGCCAGCATTCTTCTTGGCAGTAAAATGGGGGAAAAAAAAAAATTATACAGGAAGTGAGGTGGCACGAATCCTCAGGGATTTGTGTTTGCAAAGTGCTATGGAGCCCTCAAATTAATTAATTGAAAACTCAGTGCAAATTTACAGAACTGAGTAAGATTTTAATGGCTACATAAATTGATTTTATTTTTCTTAACTCCTGTTTTAAGCTAGGCCATGGCAAGTCCAATGCATGTACTGTTTGGTTTTAGAAAAGTTACAAAGACATATAAACTACTCAGAATATTTTTAACTAGGGCTAAAGTATGTATAAACGCCAGCAAACGTTCTTCTGGAGAGTATGAGCAAATGCCAGGGGCATACCTGCAAGGTCAGGTTTCAGTATTAGGGGAGCTCCTATTGCAAAATTAAAACTTCTTGAAAGAAAAGTTTGTAATGGGAAATGCTGGCATTGTTAATGCTTTCTTGCTAAAGCCTCAAAAATCTTTGCTAGTGTACAGAGTTATGCATTCATGCACTAGTGACTAACTGATGACAAATGACTAGGAGTGATGGAGTTGTTGAATTCTACTGCTGTTCTAGCAGCCAAAATAAGAATTGCAAATAACAACTACACAAGACTCTGAAATTCCTTGAAAAATATATGCTATAGAATGTATATGTATAGAGCAGAGGTAGCAGACTGTGACACTAGAAGTTATGTATTTCATGAAAAATAAAGGTTGAAGCTTTTGGTAAAACGTCTACAAGACCTGCATCTGTATATTATGAATTATTATACCCAGATAGCAACCACATGAAAACACCCTTTATCATCATTACATTTCCAAACATGAAGTAATGAATCCTGAAAATACCCTTCCAAGGTCTAGTACATAATTCTGTCTACGCTTCTTTTTACAGACACCTAAAATGGACAGAGGTTAATTAATTTACTGTATTGCAAACCGTGGGACATTTTGACCTCTGTTTTGTGTGGTTTGGAGAGTGCAAGAGGAATACTGATTTATACAGCTTCTGGCAGGGCAGAGCTCTCTGATGATACGCTCTACAGAACTTTTTAGTTCTGGATTAAGATGTCATTTTTCACATTGAATAGGACTTTTTTCCAGTGTCGTAATTCTGCTGAAGTCAATGGGACTTTGTAAATCCTGGGCACTGGCAATAATCCGGTGAGCAACAACCAACTGACATGTACAGCTCCAGCACCAACAAGCCCCTCAGTGTGTCGCACAAGCAGTAACAGTGAGTGACCAGAGAATGTGTTCCTATTTATCTCAACAGCCTCAACTCCAAAACGCAAGGGTGCACAGGGGCCTGACCTAATGCAACAGCCCAGTAACTGCAGATGGGCTGTGAAACACAGCTGCATATCCACCCTTGCTCTTGCTGGGGACAGTTTCCCTCCTCTGAACCCTTTTTAAACTTTTTAGACCATCGTTCCTTTGTAGGAAACCATATTTACAATGTCATCGTGTATCCAATTCCCCAACCATCCTCTTTAAGATGGAAGATGAATCAAGCATTCTGAATTTAACTCTGAATCTGCTTAGTCCTGGTTCCACAGAGATGGAGAGACTCATCCTGCTCCCAGTGAGTGAAACTCTGCCATCAAACTTCACTTTTGGTTGACGTTTAAAATTTTAAAACTTTTTTTTTAATTATCTATTCCCTTGTGGCAATACAAGCTACGTAGCAGATCCGCAGTGGCCAGTGAAAGGACATTAGAGTCAGGGTGTTAAAGCAATTTTTAGGTTTGTTACTACTTTCTTTCTAGTTACCTATTCTTCTAGAATTAGGTGATCTTTACAGCTGTTGCTTAAAATGCTCTGTTAATAGCAAAAGCTGATATCTACATACCTAAGCGATGAAATCCAAAAGTGAACCTCTTTGTGGGAGATTTTGCAGACAGCCAGAGAGCAAGCAGGGTCAAAATAATACCACTAAGGTCAGTTAACATATGAAGTGCATCTGTCATAATTGCTAGACTGTTAGCAATATATCCACCTGAAAACAAAATTGGAAAAGTCAGGACATATGACATTTATGATTCTAGATAATATCCTCTTAGCACAGCTTACAGTTATTTATTTTCAGAACAGTGTATCAAGTGCATGAGAGCCTTTCTTATAATCACTGAACAGGGGGGTTTTGCCATTACAATCAAAATGCCATGCTGTAATTTAAAGCTACCATAGTTACAAGTGCAGTGAAGTGTGCTTTCTGTTAAGAGTAACATTGAAAGGATTCACTCTTTTTATTCTCACAGAGACTCTTTGCACCATAACATTTGCAAGATCAGGCCCAAAATATTTTTGTATCTTTTCTCTAGATATTATTGCATATGTGTTTAATCAGCTGATCCTTTTATTAAACTACATCTGTTCAATATTTTGACATTATGGAACAGGGACAGAAATCCAGTGACTCAATGGCATGGAAATTTACCCTGCCCCTTTTTTATTTTTATTACATTATCTGTTAACCTTCATTATTCCCTGTCCTGGCAAGAGTGTTTAAGTTCTGCCAATATATATTGCAGACAATGACTTTCACTTGCACAGCATTTCTCTTTGTTATTTATTACCATAATTTTTTCTTGTAATCATGAGCTGCATTGAGACAAATAACTTCAGATCAAAGGTTAATATCTTTGTTCCAATTCAATTGCAAATACTGCTATTGGATGGGCGAGAGATTTAAACAATGCAACTCTCTCTTAAGCATTCTTTATCCAAAGGGGAAATCAAGGACAGGCTGTGTTGTCTTCCATATGCATGAAGGTAAGCCCATTGTCTCAAAAAAGATCATATCTTTAGTGTCAGCTCAGCTATGATTTAGTTTCTCTTTTTACCTGGAGATTTTCATTCAGCCTGTAAATTCTACTGAGCAAAGCATGCAGCTGGTGTGCCATTTGGCAGGCTTGAGGCTCCAACTAACATTTCGAGTAAAGGTATCTTCGTATACAATTAAAACTGTCTTAGTGAAGGGGCTGACCATGAGGAAATAGCAAAGGAAAATTCACAACCTGCCGACTGCTTTGAAGACTAGCCATAAAATGTGTGTGTGTATGGCTGTGGGTATTCCTTTCCAGTTCCCTTCCTCCATCCCGCCCTTCTTCAGTTGTTCATAACTTTCTAAGTCAAATTCTCCTGAGTATGAAATTTTCCAAAGACAGTCACAACTCAAAAATAATGAGTTTTTAAGATATAGCAATTCAGTGGCTTTTTCAGTAAAATGAGTTACACCTTTCCTTTCTGAATTGATTTGTGTTCTCACATCATTTAAAAAAATATGACTTAGAAATGTGCAACTCAGCCTCTTTTATAGTCAACACAGAAGAAACAATAATTTATATCTAAGGACATTCAATTCAGGAGTTTACATGTATGATCATTGAAAGGATGTATGTTAATTCACATGTATTCAAGAACCACTTCAGTCCAAGATGAATCAGTTCTATTTCAGCTAGTGTCTCACTTTTAAAGACTTGGAAAATTAAATTATAAAGAAGGAATTCAGGTACATAAGCTAATCGTAATGCAGCATGTGGATGAACAAAACATAATTGAGATTTATGAAATTCTGAAATCAAAGGTTCTCTGTTTCCAAATGTATTGGTTCATTGCTTGGTTAAAGGTACTGCCTGCCTAAGAGCTGTTCAAACACAACTGGCAGCTTGGAAAAAAAAGACGTCTATAACCTTTACAAATAGACAGCTTGATGGCTCACCACTGCTTTCAGTGTCCCATGCAGGACAGCAGTCCTCCTCATGGATGATCAGTTAGAAATCTCTAAACATAGCTGAAAACATCAAAATTCTGTCAGAAAAGCTAACTAGGACTTACAGTATGTTTTTCATTTCTTGATGCAAAATGGTTCCCCCAAAGTGTAAGTTGTTATTTGACTTTTACAACGACCGTTCATCAAATTAAACAACAAACACAGAGGTGGGCTGGGGTAATGAGTTCGGCTATACTTTGGAAAAAATATGCCAATCAAGATTTCACAAAAAAGCTGCTGAAACAAGATTTCCTTTGTCTTGACATTGGTAACAGACAGCAGAAAGATTTTTACTGAACAAATTAATTGTCTTGATAGGGTCTTCTGACTTTTTGTCAAAAACCTCAAATCTGTCGAAGATCATAGAAGTCAGTTAAAATGTCCTGTATAATCAAAGTTTCCCAAATACCTGAGCTACAGATCAATTTAAAAAGTTGCAATATTTAAAACCAACCAGACAGAACACAACACAGGTCTGGAGTGAAATAAATTAAACAGGTAGGGCACTGACCCAGGACTTGAGGGCTCCATCTTTAATTACTTGTTCTGCTGCTGATTACTTGCCCTATGACAAGTCACTCAGGTCAAGATCCACAAAAGTACAGAGATGCCGAAGTCCTCTGTTTATTCTCTGTGGAAGTTGGATGCCTGAATGTTTTATGGGTCTGGCCCTCAGTGCCGTCTGCCTCAGTGTCCTAATAACGAAACAGAGCTGGTAACCGTGTACATAAACCTGAGGGGGATGAGCCCACACTACAGTACTAACGCTCTGTACAGACAAATCCGGCACCCTGACCTGAGCCTGCAGAAGTCCCGGCTGTAAGGGAGAAACAACAGATGATGTGACAGCGATGAGAGAGTATTTTTACACCTATTATTTCTAGAGCTCTCCCTGCACTAGGCATGGAGAGGTCTGCACTAGCATGAATCAGATCCAAAGCCCCCAACAGCTACACTCTTAGTGACTTCAGCATCAAGCTGCCAACAGCTCAGGCACGTTATTCCGATGAACTAAATTCAGCACCTATCAGTACTCTGATATGAGTACAATCAAATAAAATCACTCTCATGTTAAAGGATGTCTATGTCTGGGATATAACACTATGTTGCTTATCAAATTTACTTGAGTTCATGCTGAAACAAAGTCTCAGCCAAAGAAAAAAAAGGAGCCAGGGGGCAAATGAAGGGATTCTACCAGATCCCTGCAACAGGTTTGATGCAGAGTGCCTCATCTAGGACGAGCGCATATATTGTGGCAGTGTTATTAATGACTAGCCACACACTGAGAGATGGTGAAAGACAAACCCACTTCCTTCCATTAACCCTTGTTCCTGAAACAAGGCCCCAAATGAAACTGGTGCAGATACAGTCAGTATTCTGGTCTCTCTCTGACAAACGGCCCATTTGTCCTTGGGATTTTTTCTATATACGTGGGACAAATGGTATTATTTATACGCAAGCAACAATTTTGCTCCCTGTCCACCTTGTAGAAGTTTCTGTCTTAAAGACACAATTCACAGCTGTCAGAGGACGACTGATCCAAGAGCACGAGCTCACGTTACACGAGCAAACGTCAGCTCTTCAGCCATTACTGACCAAATCCACACAGGTGAGGAGGAGGATGTCAGTCCCATGTTACCATACCTGAGGCATCTCTCTTCTTCACTTCCAGAAAGTTTTTGTGACTGGATTTATTTATTTTTTTTTCTGGTGAATTATGGCAAATAATTCATCTGATTAGATCTGATTTAGACTTGTATGTTAAAATGAAGGCAATTTAAAAGCAATTAATTGTTACAGTTGCTAGAGAGACCTGGCTCAGCACACACGTCAATGTACTGGCACTGTGCAACGCTCCCCACTACTCCAGCTCAGGGGTAAGCGGAGGAGCGAGTTCAAGCATTCCTCAGGAGGCTGAGCAGCACCGAGCAGGCACTTGCACTGAATGGCACGGTCGTATCCGAAAGGTATCCGGTAACAGGACACTGACAGTGGTACGTGAACAGAGATTAAGTCATCAGTACTTTGTGTATCCTTTGTGAAAATGATTAGATAATGGTGAAGGCATAACATTTAATAGCTCATCTATGCATCCAAGGGACCTTGGAATTTAATGTTATCTTGAGCCCATGCTACTATGGCCTATTAAATAAAGCACAGTCGTTCTGTAGAGACTGCTGTATAATGCACAGGTTCTCATGAACCTGAACAGCAAATGATAGCGTGTCTTTATGAGGGAGCAATAAAAGCTGAACTTGAGCACCAGATTCATTCTGGCCAGTATCAATCAGACACTTATATAGGAACAAAAGTCCAGGTAGAACCCCACTGTACTTCTGCCAAGTGCTAACAAACAAAAAACCACAAAGGATTTGATCCTACTTGGTACTCTTAGATGCTGTAATGGGAAGTGTTAAAACACTTGTTTGGATTGACATTGCTCGTAAGATTTATGCCTGGATGGGGCACATGCATAGGGAGCACAGCAGGACATCAGGAAGTTGTTGAGAGTGGCTTCTTCACTGGGTTGTTACTGCCAGCTCAGGATTTGCCTTGTCAGTTGTCAGGAACAGTGCATTGCTGTATCTGGCGAGCAGGGATGAACACCCCCCAACACCAGAGTGCTGTTATTACAGTCAATGTCACACTTAGAAACCGTATTGCCCTCTTCTTCTCTTGCTGCAAGCACAGCACGATTTTATGGCAGCAATTAAAAAATACTGAGGATGAAATTGTTCATCTTCTTTTATTTATGTCTGTAATAGAATGCCCCTTCTTCCTTGCTAAAAACACCTTACAAACTTGTGAAGAGAAGCTTACAAGGAGAAATAAAGAGCCATCAGACATACCAAAAAATGCCTATTCTGTGCCATTTGGGGGGACTGATGAGGTAAGGACTGGTTCAGGTACGGGAGCTGCAGGTTCCCCTTTCTCTGACTGCAAAGGAAATACGGGCGGACTTTGCCCCTTCGCCCTCCCTGCAGCTAATCCCCCCGAGCTCTCCCAGCCACAGGCGGTTTCTCTCGGCAAACAGCTAAACCCAGGGCCGGAGCAGCGCGGGGGG